AGTACTCGTATAGTAGAATTCCAAGATGCACAGATACCCTGCTTAACCTCAGACTTATAGAGTTAAAGGAGTAGCAGTGGCTGTAGGACTCCACCAGCCACGCTGAGAGTTTCCAGCGAAATTCAGTAACCCCTCACCACATACAGGATGGCCCCTGTGGCCTGCTCGCAGATATATCATTCACATATGATTATCACCCACGTGGGGGCTACGGCTACCATTTGCATGTGGATGAAGTAGGGCTACCAGCACGGCCTCTCCTTTGGGGGTTGCGGTTGCCGCCACATGAAGTCTGTATTTGTGGCAATTTCAGTTATGTTTGCTGATTGCAGTCCATGGCTGCTCCACCCCCCGCAACACTTGGCCATCCCCTCAACCAATATCTGAACTGTCCCTCCACCCCCTCATCTGGGTTCTGTCTTCCTGCTCCTACCACTCGGCTAAACCAAAACAAGAAGAAAAAATGCAGCCCAACCCGATCTACTGCACTCTCTTAGCCCATTCCATTGCACCCCCAACGCATACACACTCCGGCTAGCCTTGCCGCCACCCACCAGCCACAGGCCGGGCAGCCGTCCTCCCCCTAGCACTCTCATGCATGTGGCCAGCGAAAGTTTACTGGGACTATGACCGCTTAGAATGTCTACACAAACACAGGCGCAGGCCAAGCACACACAGACATATCACATGCATACATACGTACATACATAAATACATACATATATGCATACATACATACATACTGTGTGCAGGAACCAGTGTCTGGAACTTGAAGCACAATTTGTGTGGTGTGTGTGTGTGTGTGGCCCCAACGTTTGGATGCCCCATAGAAGTGTCTGCCAGTTGAATGGCAGTGGCAGTTTGCCCGCCCCTCCCCTACCCACACTACCCACACTACCCCATCCCACCCCACCCCACTCTCTCAATCTCATGAAGCTCTCCCTGTGGCGCATGTGTGTGCGTGTGCTTATCTCCGAGTCGTTGCCTTGAATGTAGGGCAGTAGTCGGCACTCGACAAATGTTGCTGTTGTTGCAGTTGTTGTTGTCGTTGCTGTTGCAGGCGTCGTCGGCAATGCAGACAGAGGGCAATGCATGCATGCCACTGCAGGCCACCAGCCAGACCCAGGCAGAGGCCTACACCACCACCATACACCACCCCACAGACAAAAAAAAAAAAAAAACAAAAAACAAATAGAAAATAAACAAGCAGCCAGCACACAGGGGCATAAGCATACCCGCGCCAGTGCCAGTGCCAGTGCCATCCCTGGCTCCTCCTCCTCCCCCCAATGTGCGGCACCTTTTGATACCCTGCCCAAAACAATAGACAGAAAGCAAGGATACGGCTTCAGACTGATCAACTGATCAAAGGCTGAAGTGCGGGCGGCTACAATCTACGATCAGATTATATTGAATGCCTTGAAATGTATCTTTATTAATATTCATTGCTGAGCTGCAAACATATATCTACATATATCTGATATCCCACTGATATCCCGACAAGCAGCACGAACAATCTATGCCAGTCCAGTCTTTGGTGTCCATCCATGGCAGCCCGCCCAAGTGACCAACCTAATAGCCAGGCATTGCTGGAAATAATAACACAGATTGCGATTTAATAGAGATTGTGCAAATAATCATGTACGAATATTTACATACTGTGTGGCGGGAGGTCATGGGAGGGGGTGTCCGTCATTAGAGCCCTAACTGGAATTTGAAATCCTTGGATCGTAGCACCACTTACAGACTGAATACAGCCCATGCTTCCATGACTAAAGGGTTTTTCTTTAGCGCGTAAATATGGCAATAAAATCAAAGGGAATATACACATACAGTTGGAGCAACTGAGAAGCAATCTTGGAAACATATTTACACTCAAAATATATGCATGTTAATGCTAATACAGCTTATGGGCGAGTATTTTTCAAGGGAAACGGAACCCACGCGATAAGTTCAGTTGCACTATTTTTATTATTTGTATTCTCTTCTAACATTGAACGAGTGATACGAGCAAAAAGAAACAAGGCGCAGAGATTACTTTACTCGGGGCAGACGGAGTAACGAAACGGGGGTAAAAACATGGGCAAGTGAGGGGTGGGGAGGGGGGGGGGAGTCAGAGATAAAATTGAAGTGCAATGGCGAACATTTTCCAACTGAAAATGGTATTAGTTGCTGATGATATGAGGCAGCAGAAATGAAGCAGCAGAAAGTGGAATGGTAGGATTGCCCGTGCAAATTTCATTTCATGATTTATGGAAGAGTTTTCGTTACTATTAGTTTATTATTTTCAGTCCTGCCTGATCGGTTCTACTTGTTCCCCGGCAAAGATCTCTAGTAAATGCTTCTCATAGCTGAAAGCTATAAGATATTCAGAGCTCCTGCTGCCTTGCTTCCTCTTTACCGCTAGATGCTCGGGCTGAGTTTAAAAATAAAAAATTAATGAAAAAATACTTCGAACTCAATCGAGCCGCCCATAAATAACAAGGCACCCAAAAGGGCAGGAACTTCTACGCCCCCGCAAAAATGGAGGCAGGCAGCAAGCGCGCAGACCTAAGGGCATTGCAGTGGCCAAACGGTACAGTGGAAGCTCGCCGCACACGAACAGCCGCCCAGCGATGTGGAATCGTTGTAATAATTTCGCATAGGGAAAATTAAACACGGCTGAAAGCTATAGCTATTCGCCGCCGAGGGATCATTAGTTAATGAAAATTAATTATGAGCAGCATCAAGGGGGAAGCAAATAGCAAACAGCAAACAGCAAATTAAATGTTGCACTTCAACAGTCAGGTGCGAGCGTTGAATGATAAAATTCAGTGACATTGCCATAAGCCATGGCATGGGGGGATGCCTTCCTTCGGGGGGGGCTTTCACTGTAGTTGCGTATAAATAAAGAAAAGCGAAGAAAGAGAGTCGTCGTCGTCGTCTGTGTGTAAATAAGCCATTCAGAATTGGGTTAAAAGTTTATAGAGCAATGCAGTGATTTGTCTCTATATTTGTCTCTTTCACTCAGCCGCCATCTTGCCGTCTTGTTCGCTCCCCACACGCACACATATGCATGTATGCATGTGCATCCCTGCGTCTGTGTGTGTGTGTGTGTGTGTCTTCATGTCTCATATCAGAAGTTTGGAGTGGTTGCATGTGGGGTCCAAAGGCTGCGCCAGTTTCTAATGGCAAAGACAAGTCAACGTGCCTCATATGCCACATGCCACCTGACACCTAACAGGGCACCCCCTAGCACACCCCTAGCACCCATCTGCCAGCCCCTAGCACCCATCTGCCACCCTTAAAAAATGCTCTAAATTTCACTTCCCGCTGGGTCCCCATCCAAACAAATAATGAACAAACATACATACATATGTTGTATGTAAGGAAGAATATTAGACAAAGAAAATGAATGATAGATGAAAAAGGAAGTGGAGAGAGAACTGAACAGAGCAGAGCAAAGCAAAAGAAGCTGGACTAAAGGCGGAAGCTAGATGAAGCTACAATATTGGAGGTGAACTAACCCAGTTCCTGTTCAGAAAAGGGAAGAGCAGACGCAAGGAACAGGTGGAAAGTGGCCAGAGAGAGAGAGAGAGAGAGAGAGGGGAAGAAGAAAGGCAGGGAGAGTAAACGAAGCTTTTCATTGAAGATTGGAGTAAGCGGAAGAAGGAGCCAAAATGATGAAGAGGAAGTGTAATAGAGAAGTAAAGCGATTATGGGAAAAATATGAGCAGTTAGATTAGGAGGAAAGGAAGCTGCAGATAAAAGATTGCTCTGGTGGGGGCAGAAAAGAATCTCCCACACGGCACCAAAATCTTCGGCATTCCTCCAAAATTCGTACATACATATGTAAATAGATATGTAAATAGATGTACATATGTATGTATTTATGTACATCTATTGAAAATGCAAGTAATTTTTGGCAGCGATGAAAGGAAAAACCACAAAGCAACAGCAACAAAAGAATGTTGGAGAGAAGACAGAGAAAGAAAGCAGCTCCCAAAGGGAGAACATAACGGAACGGAGCAGAACAGAACAGAACAGAACAGAACAATAGGCTGAACTGATGAAAAAAAGCAGCGGGGATGATATGGAGGCAAAGTATAGAACCTAAAACCAAACCAAACTGAGGAAAATAATAACAACGTGCAAATGAAAATCTGAACAACAACACAACACAACACAACAGAGTAGAGCAGAGCAAAGAGACAGAGAGAGGGAGAGAGTGAGAGTGTGTGGTGGTTGCGAGAGCGAGAGCGAGAGAGGCGGCAGCTGACTGGCGAGAGAGCTTCGTCAACAGTGGGTCAAAGACCTGTAGGAGGTCGTTTCAGTCGTTGCAGTGGCAATAGGCAACGTACAATACCATGGCGAGGCAATGTGTTTGTTATTGCTGTTGGCGGCGACGTCGTCGATGGCGGCAGATAGCGTAAGCACACAGACACACACGCGCGCACACACAGATAGACAGAGATAGAAAGATAGAGACTGAAAGGCGCAGCACTATTGAATAACCAGAGACGGACGTCAGCAGCGGGCTGCATTTGCAGAGACTGCTGCAGGCCAGTGTGTGAGAGCAGAGAGGCAGCGAGAGAGAGAGCACAGAGCTTGCTCTCCAAAAGCTCGTTGGCTGTTTGCTCTCTTCTAATGCACTGGCGTACAGCTGCTGCTGCTGCTGCTGTTGCTGCTGCAGCCTCTGCCTCTGCCACTGGCTCTGCTTCTGCTTCTTCTTCCTGCACGAACGACCCAGCGACCGAACGAACGAACGAACTAACGAACGAACGAAACGAGCAAAAGCGAAAAACGAAATCAAGAGTGAAATGCAATCGGCTGCACATGCAGGCATTCTAGAGCCCAACGAGGGGGGTTGGCTGTGGGGTGTGTGGTGGGGTATGGCAGTGGTAGTGTTGTGGGGGGGCATTGTATTGTACGTAAACATGAATTTGATATGATTATACACCCCGTTCTCACTCCTTCTCTCTCTCTCTCTCTCTGTGTGCTTGTCTCTTTCACACTCGTTGCAGACATGCCAGGCGGAGGAAAGACAGCAGACATCAGCAGGATCACACAATTCAGGTGAGTGAGTGGGATCCCGATATGCCCGATTATGCAACACACAACCACACCCACACCCCCCCCCTTACCATACCCCTTAGCACACCAATCTCCAATGGGATGAAGTGCACTCCAAACACTGTGATTGCATGCCCCTAGACCCCATGACACCCACAGGTAGTCATTGCGATACCCTAGCATAGGGTACTACAAATTACGATTTGGCATATACTTATTCGTGCAGGAATTGCTATACCTATGTATGTGTACATATGTATGTATTTATCATATACTATAATTGACAAATGAGGTAGCGATTTTTAAGCTTTTTTTTTTCGGCACCAAATATCATTTGTGTTGTCCAGGAGAGAGGAGATAAATACGATTGGTTATGTTCATTAAAAATTTAGTTCAGATTTACTCCTTACTTCTATCCTGATGCTGTATAGCATCCACAATGGGAAATTAACTAAACTAATGAATATTATTAGCCTCATTCTGGGCATCGGAAGTTTTTGAGTGTTTGAACTATTTTAGATTGAGCTAAACATATCGTAAAGAGGTTAATACTTAGCCTTAGCTGATAGTTTATCTGAAATCTTTAAGTCTTTGCTGAAAATTGTTTCGAGCTCGCAGGGGGTATGGTTTCGGAGAGTCTGAACTTCTGCCTTCCTAATGATCATTTAAGTAAGATTTTAAGCAGATTTTAAGCATATTTTAAATAAAAGGGAATTACACAAATTGCTATCGATAGATAACTGAATGAAGTGTTCTTGTAAATTTTACGGCTGTAAGTTATTTTAAAATCATGGAATTATTTATTATCCACTCTGCACTTTTGTTAATTGTGTAGCAGCAGAGATATAATTCTTAAAATCTCGATCCTTATCCCTTAGGGTATCCCTTTATTCGGTTCTGATTCCTTTCCACTTCTCCTTCTCCTGCTACTCGTATTTTTTGTATTTTTCCATTTTTTTTTTTTGCATATCATTTTCCTTTCGCGTTGAATGTTTTATGTGCCACAAGAGCTGCAAAACTTTTCCGCTTTTCACGTTCAACGACGACGATCGTGGTACTCCGTACTCCGTCAACCCCTTGTCCCTGCTCCATCCCACTCCTACCCTCCTCCCCCACCCACCATTCAGCTGGTTGTCGCCGTCACTGATGTTGTTTTCCTTGTTTTCCTACGTCTGGTCTGTCTCTCTCTCTCTCTCTCTGTCTCTCTGTTGGTTGTTGTTGGTGTTTTTTGGATTTTTCTTGCCTGACTCCATTTGCGCAACATTTTGCGGTGCACACACACACACACACACACACGTACAAACATACGATATAGAAGGGGATAGAGGGGGTGCATCATATGATTTGCAATTTCCATTTGCCGCTGCATGCATTGCTGCATTGCCTGCATTGCCTGGTTGCGTAACCCAAAAGTTAATGCCACATAATCATGGCTGAAGTTGCAACAAACTGAGCGGTGCGGTGCGGTGCTGCTGCTTTTGCGGCGGCCGCAATGGGAAATGGGGAAATTGTTGTTGCTGTTGTTGCTGCTGCTGCTGTTGCTGTTGTCCGGGGTAGTAGGCACAACCATGACACGCCATCTTGCCGATCGCCGCAGCAGGTTTTCCAGTTTTTCTTTTTCGTCCGCTTTGTTTTTGCTTTTTTTGCAACGTTTTTCCTGCCACTTTCTCTCTCTGGCGCACGCGACGACGCGACGGGACGATGAAGTAATCGACTGCCCCAGCACTGGTGAGCCCCTGCCCCTCTTCTGACCCCTGATCGCTTACCTGCCACCGATGCAACGGGGTAGGTTGATCGTCACAAAAGTTGCCGTTGCATTTGCACTTTTTTTTTTTTACCGGTGACTTAATTTTTTTTTTTTTTTTTTTGTGTGCTTACTTTCCATGGAAAACGGGTTTCGCATTTTCCTTCATGCCATGCCATGCCATACCATGCCAAATGGTAATGATGCTCGTTGTCGTCGCTTGTGCTGGCTGCTGGCTGCTTTTTTCCAGCCTAACGTGGATCGAGATCGCAGCCAGGCGGGGCTCTTGGCCACGTTTGGTGTGTGGCCCAAACGTGGCCTGCTAGTTGATTACGTCTTCGTGCAGCAGCAGCGGCTGCAACTGTGGCATTTGGCAGGAGGTATGGGGTATGGGGTATCGGTGGGTGGGTGTGATGTGATGTGGGTGAGTTATGTTGTGTGTGCGAGGCCCTAGACCTCTGCCGGGGGTATGCGATCAACCAATAGATACGATCCGCCTCGAATTTCCTTAGCGAATAAAGAGCACCCTGTATTAGGGTAGAGGACTATTCTCATTGCATCCAGTAACTGATTCAGAAACTCCATAATATTCGATTAGATCTAGGTGATCTTCAGATAAAACTGTTCGCTAAGATACTTGTACAGGGCTATCAGTTTCCTAGCTTAAGTGGAATATCTGGAAGGATCAGGGAGCAGGGTTGATACAGACAGCGATCTTGACTCCGCCATTGATTCACATACAGAATCTGTATACTTTTAGGCAGTCGGAAACGATTTCTTTTTCAACATAGCCCGGCAATCCCTGAGCACGGGGCATATATCCTTGTAGCAAACATAACAATTGAGTACTTTACGAATAGTTGTATCTTTAATTCCTGCAATTAACTGCAGAGTATTTCTATCTCAAAAGGTTCATCTCGGATATTTGTACACGGAAACAAAATAATTCCCCAACTGTATAGATGGATGATAACAGATCGATAGATGCGAATAAAAATCTACACCTGCAAACGTACATACATATATTGAAGGATTAATGATTTTTGGGATACAAATTGAATTTTGGTTTTCCTTTCCCACTACATTCATTCATCAGTTGCAAATTCTATTAAAATTTTGTATAGATCTATTTTCAATGATCCCCGCTAAGGATATTGGCATTCAAATAGCAGTCAAATTGGGTTACACATTACTTTTCTGTACACGAAAATGTTTCCAACTGGCTGGCCATAAACGGTGCGGCACGATCGAGGAAATGAAACCCCAGCGGCCTATCTTCAATTCTGGCATCAATTTACGGATCGGATGCCTCATGGCAGATCTCTCTGTGTCGCCTCCTGGCTTCCCCCTGCTTCCGCTGCTTGATCTGTAATCGATGCCAAGCCGTGCAGGTGGGCACAGGAGCAGGGGCTGGGGCAGGGGCAGGAGGGAAAGGAGTGCAGAGAGCGAGCGCGGTGAGCAAAGTGGGGAAAAAAGTTGTTTGTGGCACTTCCTGCTTGGGCATGCAACCATTTGAAATTTATCATGCCACATGCAACAGTTTCAACTCCTGATCTCCTCCCCTCGCCCCACTCCGCACTCCGCTCTCTCTCTCTCTCTCTTGTCTCGTCTCCGCCTTTTGGTGTGCTCTTCTGGTTTGTAACGGTTACATTGCCTGCTAACACCATTTTCCTTTTGCTGCTGTTACGTGAGGAAAAACGAAAGTAAAACTCGCAATTTACCGCCGACGATGACTTTGGTGCAACGTTGCAATGACGTTGTTGCTGTTGCTGTTGCTGCTGCAGCTATTTGTTGTTGTTGCAATTACAGTTGGCATTGTTAGTTTTCATTTTCACATTATACCCTAGCACCTAACCGGGAAAAACTGAGCACTTTCCATTGATTGCCGACTTGGCTCACTGTCGGTACACGTAATTGGACATGTAGCCAGGTGGAAGAATTCAACGAAATGTACAGGCAAACAAGAAGCAGTTGCTCGATTATAGAATACGATTTATCTACAATCAATATCAAGATCTAACAGTTTTTATTGTATTTTAAGAAAATCAAATAATGTGTTCCGATGGATGAATAAATTCTATAAGATAAGCTTATTTCAATGCGCTTTATTTTATTGCAATATTTTGTAAAATTGCTTAAACAAAAAAAGGTGACAGTCGCATCTACTAAAGTATTGGCATACTCATGTAGTAGTTCTTGGAGTCAATCCTTATACAAACATCAGTAGCCAAATCATTGAAGATCTCTTTATGGATAATTTAAATTCTTCAATGGAGTATCGTACGAAAAGCATCAAATAGAATCAATCTTAGGTTAAAAGACCGCTTAAGATGAGCGTACAGAACGAATGCCGATATTAATAATCTGCTTCAGATGTGAAGTTCCTTGATCCTTCATAGAAAAAATAAAAACTGATCGTTAAGTTATATATTTCCAAAATAGAATATCATGAATGAATGATCAGATCTTTGGCTAGATTATTATTATTTTTTTTTTTTTTTTTTTTTTTTAGCTTTATTTAAGATCAGCGACCGCTGACTTTTGTGTATTATCAGTGCTTCTATATGGATCAGTTTTTAGTTTGGTTGGATGATCAGCTGATCCTAGCATCGATTAATGATCTTCGAATGTTAAACAAAGTCACTGCTACTGTGCAAGTCTGTGGTCTCTTAAAACGGATTCTTAGAAGGGTTTCTGGTAGCAGGATCAAAACAGAAAAATCTATCAACAGATCCTTCATGGTCCGTGATCGGTTCATAGCTTTAGCAAAGCTAATTGATATATAAGATATAGATATGGGGCATCCTTTTTATTTTAGTGTATAGCCGTTTTCGGCTCTGGAAAACAAAGATATCCGAAAAAAGGTTTTTTTTTTTTTTTCGTTTTTCATTTTCATTACGACGCCGCCTGATCGAATCAGTGAATGGGGAAAAACGGGATTTTCCAGCCGAAAGGCAAGAAAACTGGAATGTGGCACACACACACACACACATGCACACGGATGATGAGGGGGTTGGTTGGGATGGTGTCTTTAAGGGGTGGGATGGGGGAGAAGGGTGGCTGGCTGGCTGGCTGGTTGGTTGGCTGTTTGTTTGGTTTGGTTGGTTACACCTCACTCTGTTTCGTGGAGGTAAAGATCGCCGTCGTCTCCGACTTGTTTCTGTTTTGTGCTCTCTGGCCACCAGTTGGCTTGGTTCGGGTTAGGTTAGGCAGTTGTTATGTCATACAAGGAAGCGAATGATGGCCAACAGCAGGCGGG